CGAATATTTCGTTTCCTGAAATCACCGTGTTTCATAGCTCATTCGGCCAAATGTCAAAAGCCACGTTTTGATACACAACGTGAAGCAACGCTTCATTAATTCGTCATAGCATTATCACATCACGAGTTAACATTGTAATAATGCTACGGCTGAATACCGCTAAAGTTTAAATTCGGATGAAATACAGACTGCTGACTGAAAGTTATATATACAATTCATACACGCATCCGTATTGCTTGGAAGCAACAAGTCTTTGGTTCGTTAGGCTGACGACACTGAGTCATATCAAGGACTGTTGATTTAAATTACAAGACTTATTCCGTTTTGTTGTCTTCTCATGGAGTCATCTCACATTGAAATTTAGTGAATATATAAACGTTTATGTTTGTAAAAAGAAAAAAAGTTTGTATTGATGTTTGGCCTCTCTTATGCCAATCCAAGCTTACGAAATAGCTCTGTTATCATAAATAATGTAAATTCGGAAATGCTAAAATATATATACCTTTCGAACTATGAATAATGTAGCGAATTTAGCGAAGTAAACACATTGCTCACCATCTCTTTCAGCCTGTGATCCTGGGAGATATGGAGAAGGATGTAGCAAGTCCTGCGGGAGGCGTCGCTGTAAGACACCATCTGACACATGTGCTCACGTGACTGGCAGGTGTCCTGATGGGTGTGCAAGTGGTTTCATGGAAAATGACTGTTTCCAAAGTAGGCATATTGATTTATATTTCTTCACGCATTTCATCAATGTTTTGTATTGGTAACAGTTTATGGTGGTGATTTAAGCATTTCAATTCAGAGTTCATTGAACTCAGTCCAGTGATATAAACTGAGGATGGATGAAAGTTTTCTTATCAGTTTTCGGAAATGGTAAAATTATCACAAACGAAAAATAGTTCAAACGTTGAATTTGGAAAATATAATCATTTGACGAGATAGAAATGCTGCTATATACAATAATCAAATGGCAACATCGCAGTTCATAAACATGGGGGAATTTACAAAACAACACTCATGAAGAAGCGTGAATAAACACGATAATATCTGTCACTTAATAAATATCAATAACTCACTAGCGTGTCTGTCCTCAATTGTCAAATTATGCATGCGTACACACGACGTCGCTGAAGTCGGGGTTGCCTCGGGATCGTGTCCCTATGCCGTTTATCGATGCTTATGACCATGTCACTCACTTGATTGTCTGGTCCAGGCTTGATTATTTACAAACCGCTATCGTACGGCTGTAATTTGGCTGAGTGGGGCGTTGAACAACCACAAAACAACTTGTATGCCAAAGAGCAGTCACATAAGATAATTTTATATTGAGGAACCTGTTACCTAGGTGTAAGGATAGAAGACAGCAGTCTTCCATGGTTGTGACGGAGTCTTCCAGATCTTGGCCTGCCTGCGGTCCTTCTATTCACCCTGTCACGCCGCATGAATCTGCTGAAAATCGTTGAAAAGTTGATTATTGTCCCCAAGTTCAAAACACAAATTGCTCTCCCTCGATGTAAAGCGGGTAGCCTTGTCGCCTTCTTGAGCGTTTCACTGTTGACTGATTACCTTATTGTGCTATGGTGGCCTTATTATATCCCTATGTGACCAGGTATCATGCTTCTTGTGCAGTGAAAGTTTGATCAATGAAATCCTTTTACGCGTGCAGCATCGCCAAAAGGCAGCAATTTGCGACGAGCTGTAACAAGCTACGTTACATCGAACAATATTGGAACCTCTAAATCATTCTGTCAACGTGAATTGTGTTTGGTACTAAAAACATGTTTCCATATACTTTGTATTGATCGTCAGTTTATGATATCGACTAATCGAAAAATGTGTAATGTTTACGTTCCAAACTGAGTGGCAGTTTGTAATTTACATTACAGGTGTTATAATTTCAATCATGTCTGCAGCTAGGAGAACTCTTTATGAATTACTTTCAAACTTACACCAGTTTCACTTATGTCTTATTCAGCGTGTGCTCGTATGATGTACGGCCCTAACTGTGCCAGTAACTGCAGTTCCCGACACTGTAAGACACCCTCCTCTACATGTGACAGAGCGACAGGACAGTGTCTTGGTGGGTGTGAAGATGGATGGAGCGAAATAGACTGCTCTAGAAGTAAGTCACCCTGCACCATAATAATATAATAAACAATAGTGATTGCTTTGTTTTTCCTGTTGATGTGTCGTGGAATTATTCACACCTGCTTGCGAGTCAGGTGTGATATTCTCACACGACAAACGTTGACAGGTGACCTTATTGTGCCATGGTCGCCTTTGTGTATCCCTATGTGACCAGGTATCATGCTTCTTATGCAGTGAAAGTGGGATCCATGAAATCATTTACAGTGCAGCATCGTCCAAAACCCAACAAATTTGCGACGAGATCTAACTAGCTACGTAACGTCGAACTATGCTGGAACCTGTAAATCAATCCATTAACGTAAATTGTGTTTAGGTCTAAAAACATATTTCGGTATACTTTGAATTAATTGTCAGTTTATGATATCAACTAATTGAAGGCTGGGTAATGTTTTTCTTCCAAAATGATTGACAGTTTCTTTAATGTAATTTACATTACACGTGTTATAATTTCAATCATATCTGCAGCTAGGAGAACTCTTTATGAATTACTTTCAAACTAACACCAGTTTCACCTTTGCCCTATTCAGCGTGTACCAGTATGATGTACGGCCCTAACTGTGCCAGCAGCTGCAGTTCCCGACACTGCAAGACACCCTCCTCTACATGTGACAGAGTGACAGGACAGTGTCCTGATGGGTGTGAAGATGGATGGACAGAAATAGACTGCTCCAGAGGTAAGTTACAGAACATCACCGTACCTGTTGTCTGTATGACACTCCCTATTTGTAGTTGGGTCAACACAAGAATTGGATGTACGATTAATTTGACATGGAACATATATTTTGGTGTTCCTTTCAGTTCAACAATTGACTTGTCTTTACATGTGTTTGTGACGTGTGCCAGCGCTGGGACATGATACGCTTATATTTTCGTAATAAGTAATACCCAATTAAATATGATCAAAATGACACTCAGGAATTAATTTACTTTGGAAGTCATCATGCACAATGTGCAAATAGTCTCTCAAACGAACTTGTAAGTCGCACCCTGAGGAGACAAACCAATAGCTGTATGTAGTTTGAATGTGGGTTCAAATGACACTTAAGTACTGCAGGTATCCACGCAACCCTGAAAATGGTCCACGTAAACATTAATATATCTCAAGGATAAAGTTAATTCTGAAAAAGCATGTCCAAGGGTTGTAAGATGTCTCTCAGACCATCATTGACTTTGGGCCTTCACTCGGCACGGGTGCTGGTAGTAGGCAAGAATATGTTACATTGTTCCCGGCACACCTGACGTCATCACTTTAACTTCTCTTCGTGAGGAATCCTGAAAACTCCAAGAAGCCATCAACATCAAACGCTCCAAACATCAACCGTGATTAAGGCTGAGTGAGATACCCCAGCTTCATAACCGTGTCAGAATCTACATCAAAACGTCGCTATATGCACGTACTGTTTATAGAAGTTATCGATTCATGTTGTGAACACAACTTCGCAACCTCGTCAAATTCTTGTTTAGATATTTACCGTGATATAATGCATTGCAGCCGTCTCACCATATGTATATGGGTTATCAATTTGTTCATTTTCATAAGAGCATCGTTGTGTGTCGATACATGTATCTCATGAAGATCTGGGCAGAATAGATCTTCAGCAACCCATCCTTGACGTTAAAAGTGTCTATGCTTGAAGTAAGAGGCGACTAACGGGATCGGGTGGTCAGGCTCGCTGACCTGGTTGATGCATGTCATCGATCCCAATTGCGTGGATCGATGTTCATGATGTCAGTCACTGGATTGTCTTGTCCAGACTCGATTATTTGAAGACCGCCGTCATGTAGCTGAGAGCGGCGTTAAACAACAAACACACAAACAAACAAAACCATATATTACTATTGCGTTGAAAAGAATCTTCCGTTGTCAATAGGAACAACATTCAAGTAACCATTAAACTTAATAGAACATGCACATCGGATCTTCAGTGTGCAAGGTGACACAGGCTTTATTTTACTACAAATCTGAAAACTATGGTATCTGTATATTTTGAAAAAGAAATAGTTTTGGCGAGGAAAATATTCTTGTCGTGGTTAAACTAACTCCTAACAAGGCAAACAGTAATCGCCTAATCCTTCATTCTACCACTGTTTAACAGACCCTTTTGTGGTACTTCCTGATCTCATTTGAATTTTCTTTCAATTTTGTGTTGTCAGACAATATTAAAAAAATTCCAGTCTAAGGGTTCCAAAATTCGTAAGGAAATCGTGAATCAAATAAACTAGTTTACATCTAAACTGACATATATATGCTATTATATGATTCAACATTTGACATTATATTTATATTGTTCAGTATTAAATATGTACTGTTTTTGATTTAAATGTAGTCAAAGATGTGATTTGACTGATTCTTTTCGTTTTGACTGTTGCAATGAATATTATTATAATTCCAAATGCTAAAACTAAGTTCGTTGGTGCAGTGCTAGCAAACTGCCCTCCAGGAAGGTATGGACCAGGATGCACTCAGTTCTGCAATTCCCGCAACTGTGAAACGCCATCACCTGTGTGCGACGTCACTGGTTCCTGCACCGATGGATGCCGGGATGGCTGGACGAACGTTGACTGCAGGATACGTGAGAATTAGTTTGAGAATGTTTCTGATTAACTTGTGCAAATAGTGCCAGTTTGTTCCAAACCGTGACATTAAATTGAGTTGAATTAAATTTAGATTGATATTAAATATTTTAACAGTTAATTACTCACCCCACATACTGATAAGGCAAATCTCCCTCTTGAAAATCATTTTTACTGAAATATTTAACCAGTTGCATTTTTTCTCTAACCTTTCTCCTCGCGAAACAAAGATACGTGTACATGTAAGATGATTATCAAATTTACTGATCTTAAAGCATGTCCGAGCGGGAAGTATGGTCCCAACTGCAGCAAGTCTTGTGATTCACGTCATTGTGAAACTGCACGGGTGGCCTGTGATCACGAGACAGGGACCTGCGCCGCAGGATGTCGGGAAGGATGGATCGGAACAGACTGTACCCAGAGTAATGTTTCCTTAAACCCAACCTTTATTTGTAATAAAGTCTTAAAATAACCACACAGGTTATATTAATATACATATGTGGTGGTTGTTAGTACAACCTTCAGCAGACATATCAATAAAAATGTTATATCGAAACTAGAATATGTAAACTAACTTCTTAATCATATCATTTCATAACTGAACACCTAACCACCTTCAGAATGCAAGCCTGGAACCTATGGGCGTGACTGTTCTCGTTGTGGACACTGTGACGTCACGTGTAATGATGGAGATGGACGCTGTCCGGGAGAATGTCTGGACGGCTTCACTGGTGACCGATGTGATGTGGATGTCAGGGGTTTGAATACTTTTTAGTCGTTTTTCCCCAAAAATATGAGGTTTACGAATAAGAAAATATCAATTATAGTCCTGTCAGCATGTATTGATGACGTTTGATCTCTGCACATCTATCATCAAACACACGTTATATATTCCATGTAATTGTTTACGTTGTCATATGCTGATTTTATTCACAAACAATGTTAAACACCAGACTAAAGTGACTTTGTATCTAATCCAGTATCTCCTGTTACAACCGGCGTCATTGGGGGAGCAGGAGGAATTGCTGTAATGCTGTTGCTGATTGGTGGGCTGATGATATGTCTGCTGAAGGCTGGAAGGTAACGCCTTCATTACTTAGTTTTGTATGATATTAAATAACAGATTATTGACATTGTTTTCTTTGCTTGTGGAACAAACAGCATCTACACGTACAATAGTCATGTATCATACTTCTACCACAATTTTTGTTTTAGACTGAAATGGATTCCCACAACTACCACAGACCCTCAAGAGTTGAGAAAGACGGACACGCCACACACTGGAGAGATGTCTACTCATGCGCCCACTTCCGATGTGAAAGATCAAGACTATACAGAATTGAATGACTTCACCAGAGAGAACGACAAGTCACCGTATGATGTTATACAGAACGAAAACAACCAAATCTAAGAAAAGATGTACGCACCATGTCACGGATAGTGCAACATCTGAATATATGACTTCAGGATTACTTCATTGGTATATATCCATATACATTAGAAAGCAAAGTACCAATGTCAAATAGAAAATGTCAAATTGCAGTGCTGATGCCAGCTGCTGAAATGTCTGAAAACCCTTTCTGAATATCGGAGGTGCCTTTGAAAAATACTTAATAGTTCCCTCTCACTCAAATTACCAGTTTGCAAATATCAAGCTGAATATCTAGTTATGGCCTTTGGCCGTCGTATGTAAAAGGGTATTCCACAACAAAAGCGTGGTATTCCGGCTGATGGTGACGCTATCCAGTGACCTGTTGAAATTTGCCAGACGGAAACGCGTGATTATACGGAAATAGTATGATAATAAATTGTGGCAGATAAAATATTTAGGTCGTCCACATAACGTCCTTTTCAAAGTTACAATCTTGGATAAATCAAATAACACTAATCGTGTGCTGTTACTAGCTGGCATCTGAAGGGAAAACATATATTATTATTGATCAATATTGTGAATTTTATGGATTTACCCCCAAGTCGTAATAACCGTGAATGTAAATAAGTTGTATTTCAAATCTAATTTCGATTTGACAATAACATATGGTTGAGGCAGCACTAATGTCAAAACGATGTTTTCTTCCTGTTATAATTCAACTCTCTCTCACACCCAAGTCACTCGCGTTATTTGTTCTTGTTATTTTGAGCACAATTATGGCTGATAAACAACTCTGGATAAACATGAAATGTAGAGGGCGTTTGTTGTATTGATCTATACCCAAACGTTTGCTATACTTGAGGATTTTGTTTGTTATTCAACGCTGCGCTCTGCAAAATTACAGCTATATGGTGGCGTTCTGTAACTATTCGAGTCATCGGGCCATCCAGTGATTGATATCATGAATGTCGCCTTTCTCGACGATCATTGTCGCCTTATAATTGAAGAACATAGCAGTGTTTAGACCTGCAAGACACCTATGACCGTTGGTTCGAATCCCTATCTTTGTGGTTGGTGGTGGGTTTAACCAATGTGGTTAACGTCTGATGCACACTCTTCAAAAAAGAAACGCATAGTTAAAAAATAAGGATATTTATTAAGCGGATGTAAAAGTATCTGCACAGAATATGCGTGAACACAATCAAATGAAATTAGACAAAGTGATCGACAAAAGCATTGTCGTCATTGTCAGCATTAATTCAGTTCAGTCATTGCACATGTGTAGCCACAAGGGGGCGTCATGGTCCACTACATAAGAAAGGTAACAAAACTAATCCAGATAACTTTAGAGGGGTATCTCTATTGTGTACAATTAGTAAGGTTTGCACAGGTGTCTTAAACTCAAAACTTACAAACTGGGCTAATATAAGAAGTTAACTACCCGAGACACAAGCAAGCTTTAGACAGGGATATTCTCCTGCTGATTACATGTTTACGTTGAATGCAATTGTTACAATGTTTATCGAAAAGAAAAAGGAAAGTATACGTTGCTTTTGTGGATTTAAAAAAAGCGTTTCATTCAGTTAATCACCTTCAGCTATGGGAGTGTCTGCACGATGTAGGCTTGGGTGGAAAGCTAAACAGAAATCGGAGCAGGTGTTTTTTGTTTCTTCCTTTGGACCATGATGATAATGTAATACATTATCTTATACACATATGACTAGCATACACACATGACTAGAAATAACACAACATGACTAGAATACACACGACATGACTAGAATACACACAACATGACTAGAATACACACAACATGACTAGAATACACACAACATGACTAGAATACACTAGACATGCACAATCAAAACCACGTTGATAGAGGTTACTTGTATTTCAGAGAACATAGTAATCTCATCCAGTGACTCATTAAAGTTCATGTCTTCATGGGTGGCCCGCATGTCTCAGACACGAACAGTGTGTCACTAACACATGCATAATAAATCGATCTTAAAAAACTTTTACAACCAATTTCCTTAACATGAATGAGATAGATATTGGAACGATCTAAACCCTAAACAAAATGATGTGTCAAGTACAGAAATTTACCTATTCTACCTATTCTAAATGAACATTCATGTTCAAAATATACGCACATATCAATCAATAATGTTATCGATAATTACATCTGCTTGGTGGGCCCACATAAAGCTTTTGTTCTCACCATCTGAGTTAAGTACATGCATGTTATACTACTCAACGTTTGCTAAAGATCACGTTTAGATGATATATAAAATCCAACAACAAATAAAGATAAAAATATCCAAATGTATGGGTAACAGTATTGTCACAATGATTGGGTGGCCCCTTTACGACCTCACTTTTATAATGAACGGACAGAAGCTTGCAGTCAATGGTACAATGTATCGTGACAGAATCGCTGCACATCATTATCAGAGACAACAAAAACATTTGCTACTGAGGATTGCAACAACTGAATGCCTTCTCAGCTTCAAAGACGTCGTTTGACTACCAAAGAATTAGGCAACTGCAAAGGCATGCTTGAAAATAGGTCAACACGTCAAGTTGCAAACGACTTTGGTGTCGGCCAAAGTGGGATCAGCAGGGCAGGGAATCGATACCAGACGTTTGGATCAGCTGCCCAGCGACATGCAGGTGGTCGATCGCGTTCCACCACACACAGAGGAACAGGTTTCTCTTGATTGCAGCAAAACATCACTTTGTGGCTGCCACTACACTCAGAAATGACCTGTAGAACCCAAATGGTGGTTAAATGTTTACTCAGACAGTGCGTTATCGTCTCCTTGAGGCTGGTGTCTGGTCACGATCTACGCATTTTGCGTCATCAAACCTTAACCCTATCGTAGACAAGTGATCGCATCACGTGGATCACATACGCCCTACTGAGATTCGTGCTTTTAGGACCATGAACTTGATTTCGTGATTTTTTTGCGTTTCAGTTTTGGTCAGACACTCTCATTTTGACGGGTGGTCTGACTGATTATTGGTCACATGTTTACCTGTTTGTTGGCATTGTGTGGCACTTGAGGACAGACTTTTGTCCATTAAAACATTTCTTCACGCAATATTGTCTTTCGCTATTGCAACAGATGAACATTATTTGACATATTACCTTTTTTCCAACTTTATGTAGTATATGAGCATGGACATGGTGACAATTGGTATACTTATTGTTAGATGCAGATGGTAAAAGTAAACACTATGTAATAAATCACTTTAATTATCAGCAGATAATCAAGCAAAGAAGTCTTATGATTATAATAAGTAGTAATGAAGAATCTCTACTAATTATCTGAAACAGTTTATGTACAGATTCAGCAATATATGTACAGTTTTTGCAGTTATATGTAACGTGCATGCACGAGGTTGTGCGTCTGTATGTGCGTATGTGCATGTGCGTGCATGTGAGTATGTGTGTGAAAGCTTGTACTAGTTCGGACTATTGCCGGTTTTATAGTGCTGAGATATCACGCCGTAGTAACGTACACATCCTACTCAGACAGGGTAGACTGACACTAAGCTGATCAGTACTTGTTGTGGCCCCTGAATCGAAGCCAAAGTGTAGCCAGGATGCTCCCCGGGCAGACCGTAAATCCGCTCGAACGCAGAAACGGTCTATTAATAGTAGGTCATCATTGCAGGTAAATAACGTTTTGGACATATTTCTTTTAATCAATGAGTCATTATTGCTGTAGTTGTTGATAGCATGCTCAGGTGTGTTCTTAATGTGACCACATCTGACACTATAGTGTCATGCAACATGTAACAATCCTGTCTATATTTCTTCATAAATTTGGTCCTCAATAATATCACTGTCAGCCTTTGTTGCCACATCAACCGCAATATAGTTGTTGTTGCCGATGCTGCATCCATCATCGTGTGCAACCTCGGATACAGATGTGTAGTCAGACGCCTGAGTGATATTTTTGTCAACTGGCCCTTGTGAGTCCCTCACCTCATCCTTCTGAGAAGTGCCAATCCACATCAGCCTGTGCAATAGATTGTAGTGATGTCTTGATACGTTGTAACATCATTCAGTAGGATTAACGCATGTTTTATTTGATAACAAGTATAATGATGTGTTTGTAAGGTTCACTTACCTCCCTTGTCTTACAAGGCACACGTGGAGTACAATTCCCAGGATCACCGTGAGACCAGTTCCCACAGCTACACCAATAATACCAGTTGTTGTAGGAGAAAGCTGTCCCCCTGTGGGTGTGGTGGTATCAGGCACCGGCATTTCTTAAACACAAGACATAAACATAGAAACTTTTTACAAAGATCATTCATATAGGTAGGGTCTCTCTTTCTTTGTCCCGACATGGGTACAATGTGTGAAGCCCATTGCCGGTGCCCCCCGCTGTGGTATTGCTGGAATATTGCTAAAAGCGCAATTACAGACCAATGCCAGTCACCACATCTTAGCAAACACTGCTTACCAAACATTTCCATCTTGACAGTCCCAAAGAAATAGTAGTTTCTATAAATCGGCGCGAAACGCTGACAGATCGAAACCATAACCTTTTAGAATATTCTTGATGTTTTAAATGCATTACGAACAATGTGCATGTATCTTACTCTGGGTACAGTCTATACCATTCCATCTTGCCATACAGCCTCTAACACACTCCCCTGTCACGTGGTCACAGCTAGAGTTGTCTCCCTTGCAGTTCCTATTAAGGCAACTGTTACTACAGTTGGCTCCATACTGGCCGTCATAACACACTGAAAAAAACGTGCATGTAATGTAGCAGTCGTATTACGATTGACAAGTAGTACACACTCGCATTTGAATGATTATATCATTTAGGTCTTAGACACTGACTGTAATAAGAAACAGTGAACTTGCACTGACCTGTCTCACACGTTTCTGTTTCCCAACCAGGTAGGCAGACTCCACCAGGACAGACGCCGCTCACGTAGTCGCACGCCTCGCCCTCACAGTGGCAGGAGTTGTCACAATCAGTGCCGAAAGTACCAGGACTGCACACTGTTAGGAATGTAATACATGAACGGACACTCGTGCAATATTACGTGCATTTGGATGAAGATATTTGTAGAGACAAAGACGATTTGACTGTATACCTTGTACATTTGATTACTGCGTCTTAACCTTTTTGAATTAGTGAAGATAAGAAAATGTACTAACCCATTAGTAAAGTCTACTGACATGTTTTTGTCCGAGTGGACAGTGCTATTCACTAAGTTAGTAAACTTTACAACTATTTCTGGCAGTGGTTGCAAGTCGCGTGAACGCCATTTGTGTGCATCCTGAGTGATTGTTGAACACCCATCAACAACAGTCACCTTGGAATCTTCTTCTAAAACTTACTTAAATCCTACAAACGTTGACCCGAAACACATCACCCATACGACCGAACGTTTAAAATATTTTTGCCGATATCGGTTGCCATTTAGTAAGTACGTATACAATACAGCAAATTTATATGAAGGGTAGATTTCACTTTCATGGCCTCGGAAGAGTAGAATTCAAAATAGGTGATTAAATATTAACTATAGAATGTATTGATTCCATTACGTAAAAACAACATAACACAGATGCTGGTTTTATTGAAGTGATGTAGCAGGATTGACCATGATGGTCTCTTACCCTGAGCGCAGTCTTCTCCGCGCCACCCCGGCTGACATCCTGACTCACACCGGCCTGTGTCCCCGGGACATGTGCCAAAATTTCCTTTACACATCCGGGCACTGCAGTCACCCACACAGTCAGCGCCGTACTCAACCCCCGGGACACATGCTACAAACAAAACATAATACAATGATAATGTATGTCTGGTAGCCACCGAAGATTACGCGAGCGCATAAACACACACGCACGCACACGGGGACACACACACACACACACACACACACACACACACACACACACACACACACACACACACACACACACACACACACACACACACACACACGGACACGGACACACACAGAGACACACACAGACACAGACACACACGGACACACACACATACACACACGGACACACATACACAAACACATACACACACAGACACACACACACACGCACAAATCCCACGAGGAGATAATTATAGGTCTTCAGCAACCTATGCTTGTCGTGAGAGATGCCTAATTGGTCGCCTGGTCCATACTTGATTAGTTACAGACCCACTTCACTTGGCTGGAATATTGCTGACAAACAAACGTACCTACATATAATGTTATCAAACACTACTTCTGGTTAGGATTGGCAACAAACCTTCTGTGCAGTCAGTGTCTTTCCATCCGGGCCTGCAACCACTTTCACACTCCCCGGTCACGTGGTCACAGTTGTCTCGTGAGGCCTCGTTGCACTTCCTGTCAGAGCACATTTCGGAACAGCCGTCGCCATACGATTGTAGGCATTCTGTGATAAATGGCACATGCAGTAATCCAATAAACGAACATGCATGCTGACAAATGATTCTATCATGTATACAAAACTGCCTGTGTGCAGGTGATAGGTGTATAATTATCTTACTGTGGCTGCAGTCTGCTCCATTCCATCCTACCCCACAGCCTCCAATACATTCCCCTGTCACGTGGTTACAGCTAGAGTTGTCTCCCTTGCAGTTCCTTTTTTGGCAACTGTTACTACAGTTGGCTCCATACTGGCCGTCATAACACACTGAAAAAAACGTGCATGTAATGTAGCAGTCGTATTACGATTGACAAGTGGTACACACTCGCATATGAATGATTATATCAATAAGGGTTTAGACACTGACTGTAATAAGAAACAGTGAACTTGCACTGACCTGTCTCACACGTTTCTGTTGCCCAACCCGGTCGACAGACTCCACCAGGACAGACACCACTCACGTGGTCGCATACCTCCTCGACACAGTGGCAGTACTTGTCACAGTTAGCGCCGAAAGTACCAGGACTGCACACTGTCAGGAGTGTAATACATGACGAATAATCCAGATTGTTCACTTTAAGGACGCAGGCCCATAGAAGATATTATCACAGAAATACTTCCCAGAATATACATCACAAAACAAACTGAGCAACACTGCAGGCGGAGTGACTGTAGCTCTATTGAATATTGTTTGCTAGATTGCTTGTTGATATATGGTGTCTGTTCACGCGGTCAAAGTGTGAAATTAACTTTTCTCTCCACATAATATGTTGCTATCATTATCAATAAATATAGATTCCTATTTTTCTGTCCATAAACATTTCGTCATCTTTAGCTATGATCAAACCAGAATCCGATCACCATAAATTCACAAAAAATATGAATGTTTAAAGAATTGACATTAATTATAAGTTCTATGCTGATATAAAAAAATTCATTACCAAATTCAACATGAGAACATGAACAGATTATTAGAACACAAGAAAACCAAAAAGTGTTCATTGATTTATACCGTCAACCTCCACTTCACAGAAATCCATTATCGGCATGGTATAACCGTCTGGTTCGTTGTTCACAGTGGCGGTATACAGGACCAGATAACGCCCTTTACCAGGACACGAGACTCTCAAAACATCAGGTATGTCCGTCCCGTGTCTGTTCCCTGTGACGTAGTAGCAGTTGACTCCATCAGTTGGGGAGGCGTCAGTATCAGCTATGTAGATCCGGATACCATTCCGACGTACTCTCACTGTTTCATGTGAAAATTCTTTATGAACATTACATGATTTACTCTGTGAATCCTTGTCTCGTCTTTAGACAATATGTGGACAATGCTCAACCAGTGCAAAAACACTGGGATTACCCAACTGTTATGTGTTTTAAGGAACTTATTTCGCACGTGACGCATCAGTGTCAAAAATCTGTCCTATGCAATTCTCTATTTTGACTTTTAACATACGTTCCAGTATTTGTTTCAGGTGAGCAATTGACTAGCCTTTTCATATGTTTGTGATGGATGGGGCAGGATACTCTAAACTCTTCAAGAATACCTGGTATAACTACTATTTGATGGTCATTGATAAACACCTGTTCAATCTACATTCGGTATCGTACAATCGACTCTGTGTTTAGCAGAGATTTCTTACAATTGTTGAATGAATGTTTTCGTTTTTGTTTCTACAGTAACTTCGGAGCACCCCCTGATTTAAATTCGTTCCTAATGACAGGGCTGCGTGGACGGGATCAAGTTGAGCAAACCTCATATCATGACTGATCTACCACTACACCTGTCATAGTCATTATTAAATATTATAAATCACCAAAGCACTCGTCGTCAATTACCATATTCGCCTTGATCTAAACAGGTTATGCCTGTTCGCCTTGATCTAAACAGGTTATGCCTGTTCGCCTTGATCTAAACAGGTTATGCCTAAACAAATACTTATTATGCAAAAGTGTTTGAGAAAAAATCAAGTGTCTCATAACTCGTTTTATTGATTAATTCACTTTCTGTGTTGGACGTGATGGGATGACTGTTTGTAGTTTGTGACGTAGGTTTATTTTAAATGCATAATAAAGTTTTTTACAAAAAACCATACCCTACCATACACAGTCCTCTGAAAAGCATTCATCCCCGCTCCCACAGCCGCCGCCGACGTTCTCCCAAATATCGCACAATTTACAAAACCTGATGTTAACGACTTATTAGTCACTAACTGATTTTATGCATGAAAGAAACATCCCATATTTGTCTTGGATCATGTTGCCTTTGGTCATATGCATCATACTCACAGTCTTTCCTGAAGTATATTGTGACGTCATGTATCGCTGTCCTCTCCCCCAGATCCACCCGCCACCATACAGACGTTATAAAGTTGTCATTGAATGCTGAATGAAAGCATAGTAGGCTGTAATCTGCCCTGGTGTTTCCGTTGACAGCATTGTTCGGTGGACGAAAAGCTGTACTGGCTGATGTGGGTTTGTTGAGTGCTTTATTGTCTGCAATACGACATACCCAAGTTAGGAAGGAGGAATGAATTCACGTGTCAGAATTTGTATAAAAACACTTCTCGGACCATATGTTAGTGGAAGTTTAGTATTGTAGGTTTAGAACAGGCGGTTGATAGTACATTTATGTGATATAGTGGGATGTGTTTATAGGAAGTATAACAAATCTATGTCCATCCTTCAACGAGCTCATCGATCTTTTAACTTTTGATTTCAATCTTGCCCTCGAAAAATTTGTTAATGTTCTTTGTGCCGCTGCCTGTATCAAGGTACCTTGTGTTAAAAGTTCACCCCGAAATACGGGGTTTTATAATAGTGAATGCAGACGAGCAAAACGGGAAGCGAGGCGATACATGAGGAAATTCAAAGAGAAGAAATCTAACGAAAATAAGTTGATATTTTGTAAAGTGAGAAACAAGTATAAACATGTTTGCAGAACAGCAAAATCAAACTATCAATTTATGACACGAACAAAACTAAAGCTATCTCTATCTGATTCAACCACATTTTGGAAAGAGTTATGGAGTATATCAGGTCGTAGGGAAACAAAGAATAACATAAGTAAAGAGTGCTGGTTTGATCATTTCACAAACGTTTTTCAGTGTACAGATGTATTACATGCTGAAGTCGAATGTCAATGTGATGAAGATTTTATACTTGATGAATTTGACCAGTGTATTTTGGAGTCGCCGATTACCGACTCAGAAATCCACAAGGCTATAAATCGTTTAAAGAATGGCAAATCCCCTGGTGTTGATGACGTGGTCGTTGAAATGTTAAAATGTTGTGAAAATGTAATAACTCCTTTCCTACGAAATTTGTTCAATAAGTTATTTGATTCTGGATTATTCCCTCAGAACTGGACGAAAGCTATTATCCTTGCACTACATAAGAACGGTGACAAAAATAATCCAGATAACTTTAGAGGGATATCTCTATTGTGTACAATTAGTAAGGTTTACACAAGTGTCTTAAACTCTAGACTTACAAACTGGGCTAATATAAGAAGTAAATTACCCGAGACACAAGCAGGCTTTAGACAGGGATATTCTCCTGCTGACCACATATTCACGTTGAATGCAATTGTTAACAAATGTTTATCGAAAAGAAAAGGGAAATTATACGTTGCTTTTGTGCATTTTAAAAAAGCGTTTGATTCAGTAAATCATCTTAAACTATGGGAGTGTCTGCACGATGTAGGCTTGGTTGGAAAGATGATGAGAGCACTTAAGGGAATCTATGCCTCCGTGAAAGCGTGTGTGAGATGTAATGATAACATTTATACGGCATATTTTGATTGTCCTAACGGTGTTAAACAAGGCTGTATATTAAGCCCTCTATTAGTTTCCTTTTTCATCAATGAACTGTCAAATGATGTTTCATCACATGGGAACACGGCGTACACTTATTTCCTGACTTGTTTGAAATATTATGATTATTGTTTGACGATGATGTTATTCTTGTCTCTGACACAGTAACTGGTTTACAGAACCAACTTAATATTCTTGATAACTTTGCAGATTCACATGGATTAACGGTTAACTTAGATAAAACGAGTGTTGTTGTATTTAGACAAGGAGGGCGGCTATCTGTTCATGATAAATGGTTCTATAAAGGCAAACGTATTTCAACCGCCAACTCCTATAGATATCTTGGGTTTGTATTCTCATATACATCAAAGATGAACCAATGTGTTTCAGATCTAGCATCAAGGGGTAAACGAGCTTTAATGGAAATATTTCGCAATCTACGGAAGATTGGTTTTGTTGACACTTCAGTTTTCTTTAAAATATTTGATACTCAGATTCAACCTATTCTTTTATATGGTGCGGAAATATGGGGCGTAGACAGATTTGGAAAAATAGAACAAGTGCATATTATGGCTTGTCAGAAGTTTCTTAACGTTGGTTTGCAAACCCCAAATGCTATTGTGTATGGGGAATGCGGTCGGTACCCACTACATGTAAATGCTATGTGTCGTTCTGTAAAGTATTGGCTAAAACTGATTGAAATGGACGAAGATAGGATACCAAGAAAATCTTATAATATGCTTGTATATAACGACAAGTGTGGTCGTCATAACTATGCTTCTTCTATTCGTTCCATATTATTTTCTCACGGATTCGGAGTAGTTTGGCTCAGTCAAGCTGTTGGCGACAAACCATCATTCATGAATAGTTTTAAAAACGTTTTGATAAATATGTTCTACCAATCATGGAATAGTACTATCAAGGCTAGTTCTAGGTACATTCTGTATAAAGAATTTAAAAGTCTCCTGGAACCAGAAAAATACCTTTCCATTATTACTGAAATAAAATATCGAAATGTTTTGATAAGGCTTAGAGCCGGGCTACTAAGACTTTAGGTAAACGAAGGTAGATGGGCTGATATTGATTTACGTTCACGGCTCTGCCCCATATGTGAAACAAGTATAGAGAATGAATATCATTTTATTTTAGAATGTGAATATTACAACAATATTAGACATCTGTATGTACCAACAACATTTTGCCATAATCCAAATATGCAAAAAATTTAAAACGCTACTGTCATCTTCGTGTAAACAATTACTTGGAAAACTATGTAAATACCTGTATTACAGCTATGAAAGAAGACGTAATTATGAAAAGCCTGTAAACCTGTAAATTTGTACCTGACATTACCTTTTTTCATGTACCACACTATTTCAAATGTATGTATTGTATATGGGCCAGTGGTCTTGGTACAAATAAAGACTTCTTCTTCTACCTATATGTCTAGCATACTGTAAATTAACTTACCTTACAATATTGGAATGTTATTGGTCAATGATGTTTTGATTAATGTCCTTGTACACCGCTACACTAGTCTAGTCGACAAACAGACATTTCGCTGATATCCGTCCGATATCTGCCCCGAACTATATATTAACACAGACTTTAGACGTTCAACATTCACACAGTCTCAGCAAATGCAAATCGTCGTATGACACTATGGCCACAAACAAACATAAATTAACCATTATATTTAAGAGAAAATATAATATAAATTGTGTATAATATCAAGTCAAACAGTTTGCAGTTTGTCAAAGATTTCTAACATACATTGCTGGCATGTGGGTCCTGACCATCCGGTGTTACAGCTCTGTGATTTGCACCCATCCGAAGTATCACAGCTGGCCACTAGACAGTTACATCTGTAGCCACACTGGTAGCCGTATGTACCATCAGGACAGCTGCCTGTAACAAAAGTATTATATCAGAGATTGACAGTGACACTCGTAGCTGTATGTACCATCAGGACAGCTGCCTGTAACAGAAGTAATATATAAGCGATAGACAATGACACTGGTAGCTGTATGTACCATCAGGACAGCTGTCTGTAACAGAAGTATTATATCAGAGATAAACAGTTACACTGGTAGCGGTATGTACCATCAGGACAGCTGCCTGTAACAGAAGTATTATGAAAGAGATAGACAGTGACACTGGTAGCTGTATGTACCATCAGGACAGCTGCCTGTAACAAAAGTATTATATAAGAGATAAACAGTGACACTGGTAGCTGTATGTACCATCAGGACAGCTGTCTGTAACAGAAGTATTATGTAAGAGATAGACAGTGACACTGGTAGCCGTATGTACCATCAGGACAGCTGCCTGTAACATAAGTAATATATAAGCGATAGACAATGACACTGGTAGCTGTATGTACCATCAGGACAGCTGTCTGTAACAGAAGTATTATATCAGAGATAAACAGTTACACCGGTAGCGGTATGTACCATCAGGACAGCTGCCTGTAACAGAAGTATTATGTAAGAGATAAACAGTGACACTGGTAGCTGTATGTACCATCAGGACAGCTGCCTGTAACAGAAGTATTATATAAGAGATAAACAGTGACACTGGTAGCTGTATGTACCATCAGGACAGCTGTCTGTAACAGAAGTATTATGTAAGAGATAGACAGTGACACTGGTAGCCGTATGTACCATCAGGACAGCTGCCTGTAACAAAAGTATTATATAAGAGATAAACAGTGACACTGGTAGCTGTATGTACCATCAGGACAGCTGTCTGTAACAGAAGTATTATATCAGAGATAGACAGTGACACTGGTAGCTGCATGTACCATCAGGACAGCTGCCTGTTACAGAAGTATTATATAATAGATAGACAGTGACACTGGTAGCTGTCTGTACCATCAGGACAGCTGTCTGTAACAGAAGTATTATGTAAGAGATAGACAGTGACACTGGTAGCTGTATGTACCATCAGGACAGCTGCCTGTTACAGAAGTATTTCATAAGAGATAGACAGTGACACTGGTAGCTGTATGTACCATCAGTACAGCTGCCTGTAACTTAAGTATTATATAAGAGATAGACAGTGACACTGGTAGCCGTATGTACTATCAGGACAGCTGCCTGTAACTGAAGTATTATATCAGAGATAGACAGTGACACTGGTAGCCGTATGTACCATCAGAACAGCTGCCTGTAACAGAAGTCTTATGTCAGAGATAGATAGTGGAACTGGTAGCTGTATATATCATCAGCGAAAGCTGCCTGTAACAGGAGGCTTATGTCAGAGATAGATAGTGGAACTGGTTGCTGTATAGTATAAATCATCAGCGAAAGCCTCCTGTAACAGAAGTATGACATCACAGATGGTGACAGTCAACTCTCACATCTTGAAACGGAAAACTCGCCACTTCATTTACAGTTTGCATGTTGAATGTATCTTTGCATAATAAGCATTCCTAAAATTAACCATATGTATGCTATTTCCCTAGTTTAAATCTGATAACAGGCTGTTTATTCAAATGGTCTGTTCTGCTTCTTCACATGAGCAAGCCACTTTATTGCGTAAACGTGTTCGTAGCCTATATGGTGTAAATAGGTTAGCGTCATCCCCAAGCGATTCATAAGAATTCAGCGGCACGACTGACATTTTTAGAGTTGTAATCAATATTTACATAAGCCATTTTATTTTATGATACCTGATATCCTATGAAGCAAAGTATTGGTCACGAATAAGGATATCATTCTGTGACGTCACTAACACATCATTAACATGCTGACACACAGTGATGGAAATGTGACATGAATTAGGATATCATTCTGTGACGTCACTAACACATCATTAACACGCTGACACACAGTAATGGAAATGTGACATGAATTAGGATATCATTCTGTAACGTCACTGACACATCATTAACACGCTGACACACAGTAATGGAAAAGTGACATGAATTAGGATATCATTCTGTAACGTCACTAACACATCATTAACACGCTGACACACAGTGATGGAAATGTGACATGAATTAGGATATCATTCTGTAACGTCACTAACACATCATTAACACGCTGACACACAGTGATGGAAATGTGACATGAATTAGGATATCATTCTGTGACGTCACTGACACATCATTAACACGCTGACACACAGTAATGGAAAAGTGACATGAATTAGGATATCATTCTGTAACGTCACTGACACACGATAGTAGAAACTGGACACGCCACAGTATAGCGACTTCTGGCACCTCAGACGACTACGTCACCCATGTCTCCTATCCTGAAACATGGCGTGTAACAAGACATTATATACTAGATATACTTCCAAAATAATAGGTAAGGTTTCAAATATATCTTGTGGTATCAAATGTTCCTTGCATTCATAAGCGTACCTGCTACACCGTCTAGCACACAGACACAGATCCACAGCAGGACACCGAGCCTGTGTCCCTCCATGTTGTGAATATGTTCACCGGGAAGTATATCGCTGTGTCCTACGTAGTGTACGTTTATTAGTATTTACTCAACGCACGGATGTAGAATGTGATCTAGTCTGTGTACAAGGTCATAACAACGGACAGCTAATGCGGCATTGTGTTTCGGGCATATTTAAGGCAGACAGGATTGTTTTGGAAAGATTAACATTGGGAATCCCATCAGACATATTTGAGTTATTTGTGTTACTCTTTGTATTTCATGTGACCCATTCTTTATACATTGTTCAGCATCTACCTCATATAAGATCCAGCAGACCGACACATTTCCATAAAAGGAGACCTAGACTGTTCCCATCCATGTTGACGGGTGAACATGTACACAAGGACGTTTACTGTCTTATCCCTCATATTAACTTGTAAATCACATGATACAGTCGAGATTACGTATGAATATGAAACGGGTTTTGTCGGTCAGTGACTCACGTGTAATCCACCAGGTAATATAGAAGTGTGGTTCCTTCCTGTGCCAGTTTCTGATCACAAGACACCATAGACTCAGATAAAGATATGTTAAAGACAATGATACGGACAGTGCCGAAAAAATATTAAGTGGTAAGAACTCACCCGTAAACCTGATTTTCATAGAATTCTCCCTGTGTTATAAGCATCAGAATAGTAATAATTGTAATACTGTTATTCCAGATACCATAAACGAGTCCAGAGCTTGTTAGACGATAATTCCACCATGATTATGGAAATTACTCGATTCCGATTCGTCAGTCAGAGGTATCAAATCACAATTACAACCTCTGATTAAAACAGTCTATTTGACGTACGGATGAATTCGGAAACATACACAAGTACTTTCTCAGTCATTGTCGGCAGAACATACACATACAATAACACGAGGCATTCGTTATAATATCACCATGATGATCAGGGCATCATCAGGTCATTGATCCCGGACCCTGACATCTATGATAAATAATAATCTTTGGGATGACAACCAGCTTGTTTGAAAATAATGTGCATTACTATAGCACTGTCATGGCATTGGTCCCGGAACTGCTTTTATTTGTTGAGACTTAAATCAATGGTGATTTCCATTTAGAAAACATTTAAAATGGTTATATTGAGAATATTGTTATGAGTGACGTTGTATATTTTGGTGGTTCACAAGGGGTCCAGATTGGGTGGACGACGTTATGCTTGATTGAGTTCATTCGTGACCAACTCGTGTTATTCCGGGACAAGCCGAATAGCGACTCGTGCCCCACCCATTGCCATTTTTGCGACCGGGCTCCGTCTAAGCGCAAACGGGCATACCTAAAACAATTGTCAACTCGTTGCGTAATGATTCACACATCTTTACCCATATATTATATATATTTTAGATGCAATTTAAAGCACATCGGGACATGCGGAATTATACAGTATGATTGAACACATTTAACTGTGTGTTGGGTATATTTTTAGATGCAAAACTTATGTAAAATCAAAAATTATTTCTGAGGGATTCTTTGACGAAGAACTTGAAATCATACGCGCATTCTGATTGGTTTGTCGTATTTTCGCACATAACATTCATCGATAGGGGGACGAGTCTTCTTGCAGATTACGGAAAGGGGCGAGTGGTGACGAATGGATTGAGTTAAGCAAGCTGTCTGAGGGGGAGAAGCGTGCTTGTGGGGTGATTGGAATGTGAGTTGGCTTGGTAATTGATTGGTGTGGGCCGATCAACCTTCTGTTGTTGTGTGCTGAAGTAGATAGCTTACTTGGAAATATGTATCACCATATGAGGGCAAGTTATCTGATAGAAAACGAAAAGGAAAAAGAATTGGATAGAGAGAAATATGGTATGACTGAACGAGGGCAGTTCCGCCCAGCGTTATGTGTGGAGACAAAGTTGGACAAAGGACATGTCACTTTCGTCGTGAATATTGTGAAAAGGTCCTGTCGACGCTTCGAATGAGGAAACGTTTGTTATCCAGTTATCCTGTGAACAGTGCTATATAAGTTTGGAACCTGTGAAATAGGACAAGAACTGTGTGAGGTTGAATACGTTGTGAATGTAATGTCAAGGAATCTGAGGTGACTATTATCTGTATTGTACATTTGCCATATTGCTTTGCCTAAACAGATTAACATTGTATGTGAGTGCCTTGCCCAGTACTGAGAATTGTTATATACTCATCAGTCTTTAAATTATTGAAACTATCTTTAAACTTCAGAGATTGTTGTTTGATTCGTGTAATGGTTATTCGTGGTATTAGCGGGAACCCCTGCCTTTCATCTCACGCGTAATAAATGGGGGCTCGTCGATTTATGCACCTATTTATATCATAAGGGATTCATTGTAAGCTGGAAACATATTTGTATTAATTACTCCCTTCCTCTAATCATTATTCAAAAAGAAAAGTCCCGAAGATCACAGCAATCTTGTTTTCTTTATATGTCCAATATGTGTTTCATATCTGTAGCATCATGAGTTTTATACCTTGTGAGTTTATGCAATCAGTAACTCAAACCATTATTAAAAACTTGTCAAAGGCAGAGCTGAAGCAAGAAGCTGAGTATCATATTAACATAGATGAGGCAGCTAAAAAAGCTGTAATTCAGATAGTATTGTGGGGAGAACTAGTTAGCAAAACCATAGTTCAGGAGAGCGACACATTTGATGTATTTCAGAGTGAGAAAGTTGACAGGGAAATGGAATTGCTTTAAGTAAAGAGAGAAATAGAGAGAAAAACAAAAGTATAAACGTAAAAAACAAGAGAAGGAACGTGAGTATGAACTTGAGAAACAAAAAAATCAAGAGAAAGAACGCGAGTATGAACGTGAGAGACATGCGCTTGAAAGACAAGAAAAAAAGCGGGAGCATGAGCGCGAGATGGAAAAACTATGAAGAGGGGGTGAATTAGACAGGACTAGAAACAGAAATGTTGAGCAGGAAGAGAACATTGCCCAATTTATTAGATTTGTTCCTCGCTTTCGGGAAAGTGAAATATACACTTACTATGCTAATTTTGAAAAAAACTAGCAACAAATTTAAAGTGGCCTGGGCATTGTTGGACTACTTGGAGTATGAAGTTGTTAAACAAGCTATTTTAAGCGCTTACGAACTTGTTCCAGAAGCTTACAGGCCAAAGTTCAGATATTACAAAAAAAATTGAAAATCAAATGCATGTTGAGTTTGCTAGGGTCAAGGAGACAAAGGACGTAGGTGGAAACTATGACAAACCAAAACAATTAATTTTGATTGAATACCTCAAAAGGTGTATTTCAACTGATGTTAAGGTGTATTTGGATGAGCACGATGTAAAAACGTTGCGGGAAGCGGCTGCGTAAGCAGATTGGTACACACTCACTCACACTATGTTCAAGGAATTTTCAGTCTAGAGTTAATCATGGCTGAGGTCGTTGTAGTGGCAACAATTTTCAGATCGTAATTTCAGTCCAGTTATCAAAGCTATGGTCAGTCGTGTGAGGGTCAGTCCGATCACAAGTCTGTGAATAATGGTGGACAAAGTCGTGGTCAGTCATTAATGGGTTCTTCCAATTACAATTCCGGTCGAGGTTAGCAATTGCAGTTACTCAGCTAGTAACTCAGGTAGTCAGGACAACGGACACGGTAGCTGTGCTAATGGTAGGAAAATTCAAACTCAGAATGGAGTGTTTAGTAAGACACCTAGTAGTTTACTCAGTTAGGACATACCTGTTGTTGAGTGCAAGGAAGAAGTCAAATTTGATAGGTCTTAGGCAATTTACGATCCTTTCATGTCCAAAGGTGAGATCATGATAGGCAGTGGCGATCCGAAGGCAGTCATTATTCTCAGGGATACAGATGCATTACAAACTCTCATACTGGAAGGTATAGTTCCTCTATCAGAAGAAACTTGTACAGGAACAAGTGTACTCATGCAAGGTATAGAATGTAGTGTTGTCCATGTTCCTCTTCACACAGTAGAGTTTAAGTCAGAACTTGTTGCGGGAACAATTGTTGCAGGAGTTGGAACACAACTTCCGGTGTCTGGTGTTGATGTTTTGTTAGGAAATGATCTGGCTGGAGGTGAGGTTAAACCTAAGGTTTCAGTAATCAGCGCTGGCCCTATTATGTGTGATGAACCTATGATATTTGTGGATTAATAAGTGATGAGAGTTCAGCCACAGCTCAGGTTTTGGATCAGGACATTGTAAAAAGCATTGGTTTATACCCTGCATGTGCTGTTTCAGTCAGAGAAAGTAGAGTTGGCAGTTGAAGTTCAGTCAGAGGATATAGATTTGCCAGTTGAAGAAGGCCATGCAGATTTGTCAGAAACATTTATGTGTGGTTTGCATGATGTAGGGGCTAAGCAAGCATGGATCCTGGTGTAGAATCATAAGATGGTGTTGAAATTAGAGGTTTGTGGCCTAGAGAGAAACTAATTCAGAAGCAAAAAGCTGATAGTCAGGTACCTGTGGGGTATTACTTGGATTTGGATATTTTGATGAGAATGTGGAGACCGCCAGACGTTCCTGCGGATGAGTTGTGGCGTATTCAACATCAAATTGTAGTACCGCAGTGTTATCGTGAGGAAATCCTCAGTCTTGGGCATGATTCACTGTTAGAAGGTCACTTAGGTGGTAACAAGACTTATCAGAGGTTGTAGAAACATTTCTTTTGGCCAGGTATACAAAATGATGTAAGGGAATACTGTATAACTTGTCACACTTGACAGCTGGTACGTAAGCCTAATCAAACAATTTATACGTACCCTTTAAAACCTATTCCGGCCATGACCAAAGACAAAATCAGGGAATAAGTTTTTTGTTAACAATCATTTGTACATCTACAAGATTCCCAAAGGCCATTCCATTGCGGAACATAAATACAAAAACTATTTGTGAGGCTTTAACCACGTTTTTTTATTGTATTTGGATTACCAAAGGAATTGCTTTTTTCAAAATCAAGTTCATACCCTTTACCTGGGATAGACGATTGCATTGATCGAATAGTGTATGCTATATATGTGTCAACATTTGATTTGTTAAAC